TCCCATCTCATATGCGATGGATTTGGCAGTTGCAATGGGTCAAACAGGCGAGAGAGGGAGCACTAATGAGGGACACTCGCTGCACCAGTTGATCAGCTAATGTACCATGTGTAGGGAGATCTCCAGTCGGTACGATACCATTGCCACTGAAAGCCTACACCTAGGTGTGCTTCAGAGAGGCTAGTTTGTGGACAAGTCAGTGTTGGCGCGGGTCTGGAACCAAGGGACAGGGAATACCCAACATGTAATTGTTCAGTTTCCGATTCCATGCCTGGTTGTCGTCGTGAAGTTACCTTTTCCTTAGAGTTATCCGTCACTGAAGTTAATTTCATAGAGTTAGTAGCGGGTTACTCAGTCCAGAGAACCCCTACGACTGGTAAAGAGCTGGCTCTTCCGTTGATTTTTTATTCTTCCGGCCAAGATCTGACTGGAGAACTTCCTACCTATTTTAATAGTTGTCTGTTCCCTCAGTTTAGGTTAGGTAAGATTGTAGCTTTGATTCGATTTAGTACAGCTCAAGTGTTGTAAAACGCACCCAGGAGTGCATCAAATAAATAAATAAATAAATAAATAGGCTTCCTATTTGCATTCTTCTTGCTAATGCCAGCCAGCCATTCGACTTCGAGTAATTCTAGGTACGGTTTCCAGTTTACCTCCTCTCAATTTGTTCACTTTGAATGTCAAGTGAAACCTTGTGTGCATTCATGTCGAAGACAGGTTCGTCTTCATTCATCTTTTCTCCCAAGAGGAACTTATGGTTAGTGATCAGGATTAAACTTCAGCAATGTGAACCCGATGCTGGTAAAGCGCCTCTGATACCGGCACTTCGTCGAAGACGAGAAGAAGTGGAAAGGAATACCACTCTTACGACGCTCAGGATGCAAACGGTTCTTGAGATCGAACCTCAACAAGTTCAACGAGCAGCACTTGGTTAGTACTCTGCAGTAGTTCGGACAAGATAAAGGCAAACTTTTTGTAGGTACCCCCTATGCAACGGTGTCGTACGTTGGGGTATCCCCTGCGGGGAGGGAGGTCGTATTTGGTCGTTGGAGGAAGTGGGGGGAGGGGTCCCTTCGACACTAAGAGGAACTTGCCGCGTTAGAAAAATTCAAAAAACAATTGAGTTGTTGATTTTTGCGGTTTTCCCGATAGGCATGTGTTTAACCCCTCCCCGCTCGCTCGACCGTAACATCTCGTAGAAACACTGGGAGTTTCTGAGGGCTAAGGGAAAATGAAAACTCGGAATTTAAGGAAGCAGTAGGGAGGATGGGGTCGTATCAGAGGAAAAGAATTCAGGGAGCTCTATTTTCCGGAATTTTTCCCTAACGACAGGACGTGCCCTTCCCCTACTTTCCAGAGGAAGCAGAATAGTGGCCGTAAGCAGAATTTACTTGCGAGTTGGAATAATAAGGAAATAACTGAAACCTATGTACATAACTGAGCGCATCCCTTAAATCACCAGGAGTGATAGACAAGCTCCGAGTTGGTTTCAGATTCATTCTGTGGTGCCCCCCCCCCCAAATCCCCTCGACTTTGAAGTTCCAACTTCAGGTGTACAAATACCGGTTGTAGGATCGCAACACACGAGGTCCTGGAAGTACAATCCTTGATTCGTCTCCCCCCCCCCCCCCCTGAATAGGGCACCTTTGTGCTACCACAGAATATGTCTCGACACACTTCCTGGGGAAACTAAAGTTTTCAATTACATTACAGCATCTATTTCAGTTAGCCAACCAGTCGCTCCGGATCACTGTGTCAGCTTGAATGAGGTCGTCTTCGCGGGTCTTCTGATACTGGGCGCCATCGTCTCTCTGGTGGCAATTTCCTTCTTTATGTGTTCACCGGGAAAAACATCACTACCACGGGACGAGCCAACGTACAGCGTCTCACAAGTCTTTCGACAATGATCTGCATTCATATATATTAATAAATGTGTACAATTCATAAAAGAAATGCTGCGTTCCTTGGAGGGCAGCAGATTGTTTTATCAGAATGGGGGAAAGTACCGTTGCAGCATTCATGTAATTTTCCTGTCAACACTACTTCTATGTAGCAAACTGTTTCTAGGACTGCGTTATCCCAGTCCATCAATAAATTAAGGAAAAACACGATTAGACCTCAAGGTAATTAGTTTGAAGTAGATAATAAAAGCAGCAGATGATGCCCCAGAAGGATTAATTTGGTATCTTAAGGAAGCTAGTGACGGCTACATAGCTCTTTAAGTATACCAGTCGGATCGCCCGCTCAGATTTTTTTACTCTCAGATTTTTTTCCTCTGTGCCGTTTCCGTCAAAGAAATCCCTCCCCCCCAAGAAGACAGTCATCGAAATTTTCTATAGGAAACCCTTCTTGTACGCCATACACTGCTTACGGGTGTCTCTTTCAAGTCATCTACCTACCCGCTGCTCAGTTTCACTCATATTCCCCGTTTCCGGTCTGCTCCGGATGCGTTTTGAGGATTTTTATCCTCGGCTTTGTCCACTTCGGCGAACGCCCCGCCCATTGTGGGCGGAGCTTAGGTGAGGTTGTGTGTGCTCTGCAAATGCTGGCCCATGCCGCGTTTATCCCAAGCACAATCAGTTCCCTTGAAGTGAATTTCCACGAAACCCCAATTTCAACAGACGCACAGACAACAACTTCCGCTTTATTCGTTTGAAAAAAGTCACTTCGACCGAGTCACATATCAGCAAAGTTTTCGCTGCCCAGACAGAGGATACGAGTACCAGGGAAAGATACCCAAGATGTTCCTCGATAAGCAGGAGCTGGCTCTCGCCCATCACCTTCATGTACACCAAAATATGAAGTCATCTCCAGTCGCAGCCTGACTGGAGAAGACCTTTGGAATTCACGTCACCTCCAAACAGCTGCGAAACTTCTAGTATGGAGTCACCCATGGATAGCTACCTGGAGACCAGTACTCTCGATCAGG